AAAAACAAAAGTTTGAGGAATTTCTAAATAAATTGAAGAATATTCACCCTAGCTTAAAATACAAAATTGAAAATATTGATCATGATCAGATCAACTTTTTGGATGTAGTCATTTATAAAGACTACGTAAAAAATCAACTAGGGACAAGAATTTTCGTTAAACCAACGGACACGTTTCAGTATGTGAGAGAGAAATAGGCTCATCCGAAACATATTATTGAAAACATAGCTACTACATTGGCACATCGTGTCAAACGTATATGTTCAGATGATACAGAGAAATGGAAAGCATACGCCGAAATCTTTCTACGCCTACTGGAACGTGGCCATAACGGAAACTTGGTTTTATTAAAAATCAGAAAAGTCGATCAACTAAACCGAGTATGATTACTGAAAATGCGAGATACGGAAGTGACAACAGAGAAATATAATTGTAAAAAGATTATCTCACTGACATATAATAAACAACTGAAAAACATAAAATACACGTTTGAAAACTATTCGAAATACACAGTAAACTGGTCGAAATATAGATTTGTCTATAAATGTCCCCCTAATCTGAAACAGATACTTGTACATCGAGAATACACGGGAAACCTCAAATATTTAGCCCCAACACAGATGAACCAGAATATCGGATTTTTTAAATGCCACCGAGTAGGATGTTCCTGTTGTAAATACAGTAGAGAATGTTCGTCTTTTTTTGGGACAGAGATAAAGATTCGACAATATATTACCTGTCGGACAACGAATATTTGCTACTATATCCGATGTAAACGATGTACTGTGGAATATGTACGTGAATCGGGAAATTCTGAACACTATCGTTTAATAAGATACCTCTCTCAAGTAAAAACAATAAGAAAAACGAGTATAGGTAGACACTTCAGTAGTCACAATCACTCAATGAAAGATTTAGAAATCATTCCGTTCGAAAGTGGATACCAGGGTTTAGAACATCGACAAGCTAGGGAAGACTATTGGCGAGAGTGTTACAGCCAATCCTGAATAAAGATAATATTACTGAACCGCAACAGTTCAACATTACCATATGAATCCACCCTTCCATTAGAACCGATTTCAAGATCGGAGTCCATTAGGACGTGTTCACCGTTATTGAAGAAAGATATTCTCTTAGTCGTAGGACCATTAAGCCATTTTTTTTTAAAAAGAATTACTTTTCATAAGTGATTTGTGTTTCCTATGTATATTTACTTATACATACAAACACATACATAGTCACACCTTGATACATATATTATACACAGACACAGACCGACTAAGAGAATAATGTTAAAAGAAAGTAATATTTCTTTTCAGATGATCAATATCTGTTTACGGAGCATTTTTGAACAATGTAACTGAAATTGAAACACATTTACATATAATGCGGAATTAACGTTGAGGTCAAAAGGGAAAAATACAACAAAAATAATACAAATATCAAATCATAATACAAAGAAAATGTATCGTTTGAAGGAGGAACGAAGTTAAGAAAATCCTCATATTTTATTGTGTAATTGAAATTTTCTTTTATGCTGTAGACAAGTAGACTCACTAAATAAAATATTTAGAGAATGCATAGAGAGATGTTCTATATATTAGCTTTACTTTGTTCTCTATTTTGTATCGGAAGCGAAATCTGGTAACACTGGGTGTGCTTTTCTTCACATCAGGGCCGGTACTTTCGCCGAGAGTTCGTTTCAGATCAAAATTTGAGCCAATTCAAACGATTAGAATAGGTGTAGAAGCTATTTATTTGAGAATTTACTTCGCAAAAAAAAATGACGAGATATAAATAATAAACGGTGAGAGTTCCCAATGAAACTATATAGAGCTTCATTCACAATAACATATCTGAGTACGAAGGAGATCGATATTCGGACTTATTTATGAAAAAGAATCATCTACTAACATCTTAGTTCAATTTTATTTTAAATATAAACCATGAAATACGTCCACCTTTCATCTCTTTCTATTCTTGATTGAGAATAGATAAATTATATGTTTCACTTGACTTTTTATTATATTATCTCGATTAGACTAGAGAAAGAAAAGAGACTCGGCTACTCTGGACAATAGAATTAAACCAATGTGACTGGTTGAAGTCAAGGATATATTTTTACTGTATAATTGTATTCTCTTTTTAAACTTTTCATTTCATTTATTGTTACTTGTCTGTTGCATGTGGTTATTTCATTCTTTTAAAGAATCGAACTAGCTCGTTAAGGACTGGTACGCAGTCGAAACTGCGGTCGCAAGTAATAGTTCGAATAACAAGTAATACGCAACAATTTCGTGAACGAAATTACAATGACATACATTTACATATAATTATTGATTCATACTCAATTTTTTAAAATTTATACTTTGTTTGCCGTGAACGTTCTATTTAATTTTAAATCGTATTTGAATTATTTAAATTTATTATTCAATTTTCATGGTCTAACGTATTTACTGTTTTATGGTACATATATTATTATACGTATTACGAACTACAATAATACAACAACTTAATATATTTCAACTTTGGGACTGGTAACTACTTTTTTATATATTTATATATTTTTTTGTGTATCCCACTCACGGTAGCTACCTCTTTTCTATTCCCTTTTTAACAGAAAATAATGAATAAAGAACTAGTCCAAGAAGCCTTGTCTCATTTTCTTGATCTGGCCTATAAGAAGATAAAAAAAGATCAAAACTATCCTGTCCAGTCTTGGTCAGCATTTTGCAGAGAACATCAAAAATTTGTAAAAACAGAAGAGAAATGGAAAGAAATTTGGACGATGTATGGTTCAAGACCTGACTTCAATAGTCTACACTTAATGTTGGTCAATTTGAATCAGGAACAAAGATAATAAGCCGGATTGGTTAAATAATGAACATCTTCAAGTTGTTACTAGATACTTTCATAGATCATTAGAAAATACTCTTTCGTAGAATGATGAACTAGCTCAATTTGTGCATTGTAATCAGACTGAGGGAAGGAAAGATACTAGTACAGCAATAAATACAGTAAATGTGGCATCGCCGTCATTATCAATTTTGACAGCAAATATGACAACGAATATTGGTTATGTACAAAAAAAGTCTATAAGTTGTCAAACAGAAGCGATAATAGAGGAAAAAAATATGAATAACCAGAGAAGAAATTCATCTTCACAATCTAGAATAGTAACAACAACAAATGATATTCTAGTTTGGGATGGAGTAGGATGTCAGACAGATATGAGCCTAGATATGTCTAATGAAGCTGTGTGGAAAAATCCCACGGAAGAAATCGTAGAAGATTTTCGGCTATACCGCGAATGGTGGTTAACAACAGATTGTGGAATAAAAATTCATAATATTAAGTTAAGCAAAATTGATCATTGCACTGGAGAACATGGAAATAATACTACTTGTAAAATCTGTCTAGGTGTATCAAGAAACATTTCGTTACAAACGGAATGGACGTCGGTGACGGCGGAAGAAGATATATTAGACATATATAGACAGGAGTATGAGCGGTTTTATCGATTTCGGAACCATTTGGCGATTAATCGCTATTATGTGGAAAATGAAATAATACCACGCACATTTAATTTTGAAATACCTGTCCAAACATTTGGAGCAAAGGATCCCTTACTACGAAAAAGATGGGAACAAATAGCATCCGATATGAGAAAAGCATTTTTACAATGTGAAGCGGATGCCATTCAAAAGACTATTGATGAGACGAGACTAAAACTTGAAACTTTACGAGAGTAAATACTGACGATGAAAAAAGAACAGCAGATATCGAAAGAGGAACGAGTGAATTTCTGAGCGATTTTATCGAAAAAGCTTGGAATAAAGTATTCCGCTTGGAAATGAAAGAAATTGCGCCAAATTATGTTTCAATAAATATCGATAATGTCCAAGAGAATTCTAAAATAC